GCTGCTATGCAAGAGTGCTTAAATTTGATACATCCAATTGATGCATTTGTATTTTAAAATATACAAACTTTGCCCTGCAACCTAGAAAACACATCACTTCATCTCCCATTTCCAACTTACTCTCTGCTTTCATGTGTCCCTTCTCCTCTTTCTTTTCTACACAAAGTATTCTCTGCTTTTAACTTTCTTTCCCTCCTCACGTCGCTATCTATGCTGGAGAAAGTACTGACTTCATCCTCAAGGCTGCTGCAGTTAGGCTGCTACTTAGTCATATTCTCAGGTGTTCCTAGTGCTGTGCAATTAAACTTTCACCAAAAATAAATGAATCTGGTCTATTTTAGTGCCCACACTGTTGTACTTACTATTAAAGTGTATAAAATCAGTGATGGATTGTATTCTTACAAGTTCTGTGGGGCAGGGAATAGTTATCCCTGTTCACAGAGAAGAAACTGAGGCACGGCTATTTTGCCTTAAAGCCATTAGGAGTCTGGCTGTGATGGCATTTCAGCTTAAATCTGCCACGTTGAAGTCTAGGATCCTGTCTGCCAAACTGTTGTTCCCTGCTAAGCGTTCTCAGAAGAAAAGGGAACAACACATCGAAGGTTTGCTGAGTTTTTTCTAGGTGGTTTAGATACTACGTGCCAAAGTCTAAGACTCCTCCTGGCTCCAGTGAACTTGCAGCCCTCAGCTGCAATCGGAGTAGAAGGTGCCTGTGCTGGCGGCTGCTCTGAAAGCAGGAGGGGAAATCAGGCAGGGTTTGGTGGGATTTCAGGACATCCTTCTGCCAAGTCACCCAGCGTTGCGTATCAGCGTAGGCAGAGTTGTGCAGGGAGGTGGCAGGGGGACAGGGCAGTTAGGGTCATGCAGCCTCCCTTACCTCCTGCACCTTGTTCCTCAGTCCCCGAGATCAGCCCGATAAACCTCGTGCCTAGGAAGCACTAATATTAGTGAGGCATTAAGAAATGCTTCTCTGTCATTCAAACCTCTCAAAAAAGAATAAAAATCAGACTGAGTTTGTGACTTAAAATATCCACGTGTCTAGTACATGTAGCTGGCAAGCAATTTCGGTCCCCAAGGCTGTTGAACCAAAACAGTGCTGCCAGACTGAACAGTCTTTTGAAATGACACTAATTAACACTATAGACTGTGCTGGAAGTATATTGACAGGATGCAAGGAAAAGGAAAATCAGGTATCCCGCTGGAGACAGAACTTCATCAGCACGTGAACTAGCACAACATTTTCTTGCAGTTAGAGGTTGCAAAGAATGATTGAGCAAGGGCAAATGTTTTCATCAATTTTATTTTTTAAATGTCAGTGATTTGGGACTTCACACGCCTCAGGATACTGCAACACGAAAGGGCAGGAAATGACAGCAGTAAAATTAATTCTAAAAAGACAAAAATAACAGGTCTGGCTGCAGCAGTGGGAAAAAAGTAGGTGAAGGGGTGTCAGAGGTAACTGGGGAGAGAACTGTTTGCGTGGAGGCTGGTCAGGAGTAACGTCACAGCTGTAGGAGGTTGATGTTGTCTGCCTGCAATTTTCAGCAAGAGCTTCGTGTTAGCTTACCTGTGGGTTCTGTAATGACTGCACCAATGTGTCACTAGCTCTAATTTGTAGGATCTAAGTGCCTAGGAACTAGCTGGGACACCGCTGTGCTGCATGGACAGTCCAAACAACATATCATGAAAATTGGTTTTTCCAGGTGTAACTTACTCAGAGCACTTAACTGTACTGTGCATAGATGGGACATGACAGTGGTGGCAAGGCGTTAGCACCGGGGCTGCGGCAGTGCTGCTGCCCCTGGCCCTGCCTGGCGCAGGGAGGGGAGACAAGGCTCCTGGGCCTTTGGGGATGGTGCTCCCTGAAGACCCCCGGCAAACCCTGCTTGCTTAGAATGAAGTAGTTACAGAATGAAAGCAATTCATAATGAATACAATAATAACTCTTCATGTAATCTTGCCACGATTTGAAACGAAGGAATCAAATCGGTCCACGGTAATTACATTATGACAGACCAGCCTCCTGACGAAGGCAGAGGATGGCAGTCAGGCAGCCCGGGCTCTGCTCCCAGCTCCTCCTTGGCAACGCCAGCCCTGGCCCCAGGGGTCCCAGAGAAGTGTGGGGTGCTCAGCACAGCTGCTGTTCCAGCCACCTCAGCGTTCTCTGTGAAAGTGGAGTTGATAACACTTTTTTAGTTTAGAAGCATTGGATTGTAAGCCCCTCCAGTGGGCAAAGCTATAAAAATGCTGTGTATAAGGACAAACATCACCTGGAAATTGAGCAATTACACGAACACTTACTTTTTCTTAGATAACAAAGCATGGGCCAAAAGCCAGAACTACAACCTTTTGAGAAAACAGGCCAAATTCTGCTTCTGCCTCTGCAATGCAGAGCTTATGTCTGCAGCAGAAGAGAAGGTTGTTGTGTACAGGTATCTGTGTCTCAGATGGTAAGTTTTCTCACTCAGAAATCGTCCTCAGCATTTGTACATGCGAAATGAGAGCTATGGCTGGCTAACTAGGAGTTACAGTAATTGAGTCATTCTTATTTAATGTGCATGCAGTTTGAGAAAGCAGCTCTTGCTATGGCCTCTCATTATCATTCCCCAAGTATCTGTGGCTGCCTCCTGGGGATAAGATACTGCTCAGATGAAAATTTGGCTGAAGCACAGCTACTGTAAGAGTCAGAACTCTCTGAGCATCAGTGCTGGGAGTAGAGCTGTAGAGAATCCAGCAGACTGCAAAAAAAATCTTTTTCGCCTGCCTTTAAAGGAGAAATCTGCTAAGCAGGCTCAATTTTCTTAACCTGATTTCAGTCACGCTGAAAAACATGTCCAGAATAAAAGGTGAAAACCAGCTGAAATTCTGCCAGGTCTGATGGGACGCACTGAGCCACGCACAATTAACATTAGTGGGGCTGCAGACAAAGCATACTGCAAAGCAGAAGCCTCAGTCTTACAAGGACTGAGGCCAGAGGGCAGTGGTGCAGTTGCCGTTAAATAACTAGAAGAGAAGACCAAAGAAGCGTTCGGGCACTGAAGTGACTGCGCTACAGAGCAGCGAGGCTGTGTGAACTTTGCCGCTCAGCTCCAGAGCAGGAGGGCAAAGGAGCGTTTTGGGAAGCAAAGCTTAGGCTTGGGCTGCATGGCAATTGGCAAGTGAGTGTTGCATGGCACTGCTTTCTGAAAACAGACAAATTTTTTTAATCTCTATTCCACACCTGATTTTTTAATGTATTTTTAGCAATATGGAATGCACAGCGTATTATGAGCAACGCAATGGCTAGATTTTTACCTTCAAAATATTATTTGGAGGTTAAAGCTGAGGCCATGAGTTCTCCCCACAACCTTTTCTAGTTTATGCTCTCACCTAAACAATGTTTTAAAAGACATATGCCTTTATCTGACTCCTTCACTGCTTTAGAGGTGATGGTTAGGATATTAATGTTTAATTATCTGAAGCAGTATTATCTTTCCCAAAATAATGAAAATGCAAAGGTTTATGGCTATGGGCTCCGAATGGTTTGCAGATCGATTTTCTGTAAGACCCCAGTGTTGTTTCTAAGGATCTGTAAAAAGGTTTCAAGGGAGCATTTTCTGCACTTGTGATTTTTGAAATTCCAGTTACCTGGAAAGATGAAAGGAGAAAAATAACATCATATGAAATAATGCTCCCAATTAATGTTTGTAAGTCAACTTATGCAGCACATTCTACTTTCAAAGTCATCCAAGGTATGAACTGAAGAAATCATCGCTAGGTTTTGTAAGTATAAAGCATATAGGTTTATATGTGTATACTTTTGTATGTAAATTAGCCAAAATAAAGGAGCAATCTGATCTAACATCAAAGTTAGCCCCGCAGGGAGTAGGGGATTGGACTAGCTATGCTCCTGAGGTCCCTTCCAACCCAAATTATTCAATGATTTTAACTTCCTTTTCTATGGTTATGTTTAAGAAGTTCCTGGAGAAAAGGTGTCATTACTTACTTTACCTGATCTGCTATAGTATATGCAACTGTTTTCACTTCAGATTGTCTGCTAAGGTAGTTTTTTCCATTTATTTTTACTTAAGTGAAATAAAATGGCATTTATGTAATGCTCTGGATTCCAGAAAGCTTTGTATTCCACGGAGAAATTGCTGTTCCCAGCACTGAAACGTACTCCAGATTTTTGATGCCCAGCAAGTTTTTCACTATTTTTTTATCTTGTCGGAATAAGGAGTGAAGTACCGGCAGGCGCTGACTGCAGCTGGGTTTATTATCACCGCTGGATTTACTCGTGTAAATCTACGCAGCGTGTGGGTGCCGAGGCTTCTGACGTTGCGCGTAGGGGTTGGTCCTGGAAAAGGAGGTGCTCTTTACTTAGGGAAGAAGAGACTCTGTTAAACAGTCATTACTCGCGCACCGACCTTGCAGAAAGCGCAGGGATCTTTGTGACGATCTCTCCAAAAACTGTGGGCTGAAGAATTCCTCCCGTACGGCCGCTTCCCGGGGCTCCGGTCCTGGGTAGCACC